CGCCCCCACGGCAGAAAGGGCGAGCATATTTGGTGGGATGGGGATTCAAACCCGCGACCCTCAGATTGGGAGTCGAGCACCCTAACCATCTGACCTAGGAATATTGATTTACTGACTTTGCCTTTTCTGACTCACATTGTTTATAAGGCGTTTAGGTTTTGGTTTTAGTACCCGACTTCCTAACCTTCCGTGAGATACTGGTATATCAAACACTGAGTTATAGCAAAAACAATACTGTACAGTAGAAAGTCAGCAATATTTTATAAATTACTTTTTGTTTTGAGCTTTTTTCTTTAAAAAAAAACAAAGTAGACTTTGTGATATCACGTAACTTAAATATATGAACACTGTTCGTTTCATAGTTTAGCCAATGACTATCTTCTCTTTAAGTTTGTTTGTTTTAGCGAAGAGCTACACAATAGGCTATCTGTACTCTATCCACAACGGGTAATCGAACCCTGGATTTTACCGTTGCAAATGTATAAATTACTGCCGACCCACTCTAAGATGTCTGTTTTTGTGATAATAGCCCAAGAAATTTCTCAAATGGTTCGTTCTCTTCGTTTGTTTTGTTGCTAAACGCAAAGCTGGGGGATGGCCTATACTTGTGTTATGTAACCAAGGGGATCGAGCCCCGAATTTTAACATTATAAGCTGTTAAACTTACCGTTGAGCATCTGGTATGTTAAAGAATTTCTGGAACTATATTGATAAATATAATTCAGTAAAAACAAAGAATGAGAACCCTGGCGGATATTTAAAAGTGCCATTCTAGTTATGGCTTTTACATTGTGTTTAGGCTTAATGAATTATTCGTTAGGTTGCAGTTTTAATTTAGTTTGTTGTTTGTTCTACGTGATATTTTTCAGTGATCTGTAAAATACCTTCAAGACCTAAGTAGCTTTATATTTGATCTACAATTTACTCAAATAACGAATTCTCCAAAGAAACAAACATTGTTTTCCGAATTCAAGTACTTTGGCTCAGCGGAAAGTTTGAGGGCTTATAACATTAACATTCAGTGTTTAAACAAGTACTTATTTTCAAAGATAGCTAATTTGATTTGTTTTTCCCTTACTTGTTGTAACATCAATACTAAAATGTTTGTGAAACTTTAATTTCTATTATGAGTGTATTAGCCTACCCAAAGCTATGAATTATAAGCCTTCGATACAGAGATTGGACAAGAAGCCGCTTTGGGACGTGCCGATAGAGACATATAGACATTATTAACATATGTAAACATTAATAATAATATGAACTTTATGCAGATGACCTTTGACATTATTTAATTGTACATTCACACGCGCCCAAAAACAGCCTAATAATCATATTATGATTTTTTTAAAAGGAAAAGTATACGTTTTTTTTTTTGGTTTTAATGTAATTATATTTTTAGAATACGACATTTTTTATCAAATATCTTTTAAATAACTTCTGAAATTCGAGACTGTAAAACTGAGCACCAGACTACAGCTTCTAGCTTATCTCTTTTTTTCCTGACAAGCTGGGATGTTTTGACATGACACAGGCGTTTTTACTCCTAGTATTATAAATACGTGTTACTTTATAACCGCCATATTCCAGCGAGCAGGCCCGTACTGAACTGGTCATTTATAACAATAATTGTTTTTAAAGTTTAGTTATTCCTCTTTATTTTGGTGACGATGACTGAAGACGTACCATATGAAGATAATGATTATTACATCAAGAGCTGTACTGGACACCGACTATTTTGCAAGTGCTGGCCGACACCAGGGACGCCGAGGTAAAATAGCTTTCTATCGTAGAAAAACGCTGAATAATTTTTTATTTCCACTGCCATAGATAGCACAGCGCTAGCTTTAATTATGTTAAGATAAGATATCAACAAGCGGAATTTGTAATTTACGATTTGCAAATCATGTTTTATAAACTACATCCAAATTGGAGAAGATGTAATTAATTATTTACTAATTATTTTTACTTCCATATGTTTACAGATTCACAACAAATTCCATTTAAACAGAAGCCGCTTAAGACTTTCTGAGGTCATTGGTTATAATAGTAAATTCAAACAACTTTATATAACTTAACTATATAAGGTTAACTATTGATGGCATCTTGCATTAAAGTTAGTCTGAAAAAATCATAATATAATAAATTGTTATTCATATATACTAGATGTACTTCTGCAGGACCCCCGAAAATGTTCTCTTTCAAAAGTAAATAAAATACAAATTAAGAGTAACAAATATTTTTATTTCTTGCTTTTCAAGTCCATATGCCATGTTGTGTTGTAGCCTACAGAGTACATAATTATTCTCGTGATTCATGGCATACGCATGTTTTACTGACGTCACGACAGTACAATTGCAACGTTAAGCGTCCCTTATGTGACATCATTTTAGTGTTTACTTACTGACTGACAGACAACACGCTAATGTATAGTGGTGCGAGTGGTTAAAACATATGACCCTTGCAGGAGACCTTCGGCCCCCTTTCGGGTAAATGAATAGTTTTTACTTTCTCAAATATTTCCATTAAATGTAACCCTACTGCTTCAGACAATCGTACTATTACTGTGTAATTCTGTATTTCCAAAAAATCATAACTGTAACTTTTATTGCTCCTAACATCCTAGGGCCTTGGCGTTTGTTGCCCACGGATTTGGTGAGCACTGCGCTTTGTACGAAGATTTAATCCATGGTCTAGTCAAGACTGAAATTTTAACATTCGGACATGACCATGGTAAGTTTCTTTTCTTTGTTTTAAAAATAAATTTTGTTATATTTTGATACAAAATGCAAAACAGTAAAAACAAATTTAAAACAAAAGAACATACCTTCAGTTGTAATGTACTGTTTAGTCGTAGTTTTAACGTTTTCGTTTTGTACTTAAAGGCAAATCAACACAATTGGCTATCTGCGCTGTGCCCATATACCCTCAAGCTTACCGCTAAGCCACTGAGCTTGTTTTAATCTAAAGTTTAGAGGAAGACTTTTAATGTCACATGATAAGCACTTGGCTTTAACGCCTGAAATTTTCTTGAAAGATTTAGGAAATAATTTGAAAGTATAAAAAACTTGAGTTAGTTGAGATTAAGTTACTTTTTTTTCTTTGAATCAGTAAATGAGTTAGTTAAGTAGTGTAAATTTTGAGTTGATGTTTTAAACAAA